TTATTTTAATTAAATTGTACTTCTGGGTTAAAAATGGCTACTGTTTTATGGGATGTTGCGCTTTGTAATTTGACGGAAGTCTACTCGCAGCCGTGAGAACCTGAAAACTTAACTCGTGTTTAAGTTGTTTTGCCGTGTAGTGTTTAGTAAATTGGCATGTTTCAGAGGCGCTTACTGCCTCCATCATTAAGGCGATGAGAATTTGTTTTAAAATATAAGATAAAACGGGTCATTGATATTATATTGCGATGTGGGATTTGAGTGGTTTGCTGATAAAATAAATTAGAGAAGCTGAGAGAGATGAGGTAAAGATCCGAGAAGGAAAGATGACATTTACAGATGGGAACATGATGTGTTAGATACGTTAAAAATGTTCGCAAATGAGGTAGTGGGCGGAAGAATTTCCGAGTGGAAAATGGCTTATTAGAATGCTGTGGAATGAAGGAGTTCAGGAAAATAGCTGTGTACAAAGAAAATTAGCGCCATTACATTTACTAAAGTTTGAGCTGTGGACCCCGAATATCCGGTGTCAGGTAGACAGTCTTCTGTGTAAATGTTCCACATGTAAATCGAGTACTCGATACGGAACGTAAAATGATATTTTAATCTTTTAATTATCTTATATTGTGATTGACGGCCAATTTTAATATATTTTTAATACTATTTAGTCTTCTGTTTAGTAAAAAAAAATGATGGATTTAGCCGAAGTCTACCAAATCTCCTCTTTTCTGTGGGCTTACTTAGATTTCGTACGCGTGCTACATGCCTTGAACGTCTCACCCTCCTTGATTTATAATCAACTCACGTTTACTAATCTCTTAGCATGGCCACCCTGCCAGAGTTAGAAGATAAGCCGACAGTGAACTACAACACAGGTACACAGATAAGGTGTGGCAGAGGCCGGAACATGCCGAGGTGGTTATCAGGAACAAACAACCCACATGCGTCGTTCAACCCAGTTTTGCACAGCTGGCACTCCGTTGTTCACTTGCGCGTAAGTCTGGCGGGCTTCGTGTCGTCAGATTATTTCCACCGTGCGTGGTCTATAACGGTGTAATTTTCAGTGTTTAAAATAACTTCAGCGTTGCTAATATTCCACGTGTTGGAATATGCAGTTCTCTGTGACCAAAATTCCAGTCCAGAACGTATAATCAACATTGAATTACGCGTCTCCAGTCTATAGACCCGGTAAATCGGTAAATGTGGTAGGAAGTTATAAAATGTTCACGTGTGAAATTCGCTCCAGAAGGTTGAAATTCGTCCGCCACGCGTCGGCTTCTACGGAGGTAGGCACTGTGTCAGTTTATCGAATATTGAAACTAAAACATTTCTTCCTGTGAGTTTGTTGTGGGTTCAGGTTTGTGACGCCGTCTGGTCTTGTAGGAAGCTGCAAATGTTTCGGAGAAACAGAGCTTCAGCCGTGAAAATTCATGCAGTTTTTCCCCTCAAAGTTGTCATCCACCGACAAGGCAACACATGGACGACACGCGTTTTTGATCTTCTTCTGTTTTCCTCGCTCTTTTTTTAAACTATCATTGTGTTCTCTTTATTATTTATTTGTGTAATTTTGTGATGCCGCCATGGGCGAACGCCTAGTTTGCTTAGTTCATAAACCGGTTGTGAATCCATTTTAATACGAGCCTTACATCTAAGGGTGTGCATCTAATACCACTCCTACGTCAGCTGTTACGTGTTATGTGTGTCGTGTGTGTTCCAGGAGTGAGCGAGTGATCTGTGAACATGATCGACCCAAGTTCGTCGGAAGAGGAAAGCGAGGAGGAACAACAAGATGATCCTCTACACCCACCACACCGTCATCACCGCCACCAAGAGCCCAGCAGTGCGAACCTCGAGGTGCCCGGGAGTCTTCCCAGTCTTCCAAGGTAAACCCACATCTCCAAGCCCCGAGTCTGTAAGACCAGTTTCTATATTATCCTCCCATCTAGGTCCTAGGTTGTGTCTTTCATTCAGGCGTCCCAATAAAATGTTGTGCTCTTGCGTGCTACATGCCCTTCCCATCTCTTCAAAGAATAATCAAGCAAGAACTGCTCAGAAAAACTTTCGATGTAATGGCATCGTATTTAGTTCTATCATTGAAATTAAATCCGCTCAGAGGGTGGAACACAGATTGCAGGTGTTTGAGGAGGATATTTGGTCCTAAGAGGGAAGACGATGGGGCGTGGAGAAAACTGCACAATGACGAGCTTAAAAATCTGTACTGCTCCCCCAGTATTGTGAGGGTGATTAAGTCGAGAAGAGTGAGATGGGCGGGACATGTAGCGCGCATGGATGGGACAAGAGGGGTGCACCGGGTACTGGTTGGGAAACCTGAACGGAAGAGACCGCTGGGGAGACCTAGACGAAGATGGGAGGATAATCTCAGGCGGGATCTATCCGAGATAGGAGTTGAAGGAAACTGGACTTTGTTGGCCCAGGACAGGGTCCGATGGAGGGCTTTGGTTAATTCGGTGATGAACCTTCGGGTTCGGTAAGCCATCTAGTTAGTTAGTTAGTTAGTTGAAGGTGGCTATCTTCTTGGTTGTAGCGCCGTGTATCTGGTAAAGACAGACAGGGAACTGCTCGGTCTACTAATGTACATCTGTTAGTATTTGTCTCAAGTAAAGATTTCATGACACATTGCCAAAGGATTTAGCCCAGGAATTATCGCGAAACAGAACGGAGTAAATACAAGTTGCAGGAAAGAACTAATAAATCGAACATCGAACGAATATTGTTCAGTTGATGAAAAGACTAATCCTGGTGAAGAGAGATACTGATTAATTCCAAGTGTAGGTGGAATGGAGACACAATAGGATCAATTTATAGAGAAAGAGGCCACGTTAATTAAGTTTAACACGTTTCAGAACTAACTGCGTTGAAAGATTTTAGGTTGTCGTGGCTGCGGCGAATATGAAGATAACTGTCTTTT